TTCCCAAGCCAAGTCCCTCCACACTGAGACTTTCCATGTTTTTACACATCTTTGTGTGTGTGCTTGCATATTACAGGGCCTAAGGCGTTCGTGCCCTGGGATGCTCAATTATCATCAATGTAATAACTCTTAAAAAAAGAGCGGATTGAGCCATCATTTTCACGTGTCTTGTATCATGTTGGCTTCAAGTGTGAACTCAGTGAGTCAGCAACTAGGCGTCACCTAATGACGTGAACCTTCTTGTTTGGGAAGTGACACAGAGCTTGATGACTGCACAGAAGTCATTGGTCTGTAAGCACACACACACACATACACTTCCTGCTTTGAGCTAACATCACATCCAAGTCTGATCTTTTGCTCATTCCTCAGAGAACATCCTTGAGTTGAGAGGTGAAGCTCTGGGGAAAAATCTTGCTTTGGTGTGAGCTGACTTTTACTGTGAAACTCCCATGACAGCATTTCTTATCAGCTGGGAGGACATCAGCATGGTGATGGCCAGCCCTGATATTCCTGTTGATAGTGTGTGGTCAGATGCAGGTCAGACTCACAGCAGGTTGTGATAACAGCCCTTCACCACAGACAGACATATTTCCTGCATGTTGCTTGTGTAACCTTCCAGAAAAAAAAAAAAAATGCTTGAGCTGTTGAAGAATCTCGTCTGGGCTCAGATGCAGGATCTCTGAGTCAGAGCCGAAAACACAACAGCCAAATGAATTGTTGTTCATGTGTCACACTGTTTTAAATCCTTGATATCTGTTTATGTCGACCAGATTCTTATTCTCTAAATTTTCTTTTTTTGCAAACGGTCACGACAAGCGGTAAAGCCAAACTGTACATAATAGATGGGATACTCAAGTTTTTCTAAATTTTTTTGTCTTTATGGATGTGTTTGTTTGTTTCAGAAATCAATATGTAGGAATTAATTTTATTAATTAGTGTACAGCTGCATTTGACAAGTGTCTACCATGAAAAAAATGTCTGTATTATGCATTTTTTTTAAAAATTAACAATAATCTATAATAAGCTTCTTTTTTGACAAACTCAGTATTTAAGTGTAGTCGTGGTAAGCCAGTAAAAAGTGCATTATGATGATCCAGCCTGCTGGTAATAAAAGCATGGATCCTGCGTTGTTAAGAATGGCTTTATTTTTCAGGTGGAAGAATGCTGTCTTGGTCACTTTGTTAATAGGTGCCTCAAAGTGTGAGTCCAAAATTATACCTAACCTTGGATTTGATCAGGTGAGCCAGGTTTCCAAGTCTTTTAGAAGATAACTCTCCCTTCACTGTAACACTAAGTTATTTTAACTCAAAACAAACTGATAACATCAAACATTTTAAGTAGCACAAACTCAACTCAACTCACAAAACAGAATGTTTTTTTTAACTTATAAACATTTTTACTTAAAATGTTCAATGTAATCAGTTTCAACCTTTTTCTTTTAGGTGAATTAAATTGTCTGATTTTACATAGTTGCATTTTGGTCCTAGTAGCAGTATTTTGTCTTTGTTGAGTCTAGGGCTGTCCCTGATTAAAGATTTTCCTAGTCGACTAGTAGTTATTAGTTCAAGCCATTAGTCAACTAGTCTACAAATGTTTGTGATATTAATTTAATTATATAAATATTTATATTTTAACAGCCACTTGTTAAATAAGAGAAAAAGGAGTAATGATTCTGAATGTGTTACAACAACCAGTGAGGATTGAACATTTCGATAATTTATTTCAACACAGTGTAACATCACACCAGTCTTGTATTGGCAGACTTATTGATACGATGGATGATGGATAACGTTATCAGTTATTTTCAAATTAACTTGCTACACACTCGCTCCTCTTCCTCTGTTTTATGCCTCTCCTGTCTCTGCCTGAACCCACTGTGTCTTCATCCCCAGAGTCAGAGTTTTGGTCTGAGCAGTTCTAAATCAGCTGGCATCTGTTGGTCCCCCCACTCCGGTTCTGGTCACTCATTCCGGCCCCACTCCCTGGCAGGATTCCTCGCTGGGTCCCCCGCTAGTAGTGTTTAAACACCCCTTTTCCTTCTAGCTCCCAGTCCAGGTTCAGACAGTGTAGAGTAGAGAGTACTCTAGTAGAGAGACTGAGAGAGAAACAGCTAGATGACAGGGCTGCACTGTAAGCGTTTCTCTCGGACTGTGTTGGAGCTAAAAGTGTAGTGATTGTTTAGTCCGAAGCCAGTTGAACAAAAGCAGCATGAATAGCCGGGGTTGATTCCTCCAGCTTGATTGACAAAACCCTGCCAATTGTGTCTGCGTGTCAGTGTGTGCTTTCCACCGCCATCATCGTAAAGTCGAGAGTGGCTGTTGTTGTGGAAAACACAAACTCTGACCTTCAGTGTTGTTATCCCAGTCCTCTGTGGCTGAAATCCGGTCAGGACTACTCCTAGTGTGAGGACCAAAGAGCAATGAGTTTATTTCACATTTCAGTCAGAAAGTCTGACCCCTAATTTAAAATCCTCCTCCTCACCTGCAAAGCTCTTCATGGTCAGGCCCCTTCATATCTTGAAGAGCTCATAGTACCCTATTACCCCTCTAGAACACTGCGTTCTCTGAATGCAGGGTTACTTGTGGTTCCTATAGTCTCTAAAAGTAGAACAGGAGCCA